GGATTGAGCGCGGTCTGTGAACCAAAGTGTCGCAGGTTCGATTCCCAGTCAGGGCACATGCCTGGGTTGCAGGCCACGCCCCCCAGCAACTGCACATTGATGTTTCTCTCTCTCTTTCTCTCTCCCTTCCCTTTCTAAAAATAAATAAATAAAATCTTTTTTTTTTTAAAGAAAGTACTCACCACAAAAAACTGATAAGTTGAACTTCATGGAGAACTTCTATTCATCGAAAGCCCCTTAAGAGAACACCAAGGCAAGTCAGGGGCTGGGAAATGGTACTTGTAAGACTTGTTTGATAAAGGACTGGTATCTGATTTTTAAAATTCCTGCAAATCAGTAAGGAAAAGAAAGCACCTGAGAAATAAGCAAAGACTCGAACACATGCTTCAAAGAGAAGCTATCCAAATGGCCAGCCAGCCTCTAGAAAGGTGCTCACCACCATCGGTCAGCGGGAATATGCCAAACAAAACTGCAGCAGCACACCCCTGCACACGCGCCTGGAGAGCCAAGCTTATTTATTTATTCTTAAAATCGACTTTTAATAATAGCTGGCATGCAATATCATATTAGTTTCTGGCGCACAATGAGTGATTCAAAATGCATACCCCTAATGAAGCGATCGCTGTAACACGTCTAGTAACCCCTGTCGTCGTCCACGGCTAGTGTGGCAGCGCTGCCGGCCGCCCCTGTGCCGCGCATCACACCCATGTGTGTGCGCATTCTCCACTGGGATCTGTGCTCCCTGATCCCCTAATCCCCTCCCCGCTTTCTGTCTGTGTCCCTGCCCCATGGACGTTGGCAGCCGTCCCTTTGTTCTCTGCATCTGTGAGTTCGTGTCTGTGTCATTCTGTTTTTTGTTTAGTTTTTTAGTCCAGGTGTAAGTGAAATCATGTGGTATTTATCTTCCTCTGTCTGCCTTATTTCATTTAGCGTGGTACCCTCTAGCCCACCGAAGTGGTCACGAGTGGCAAGATATCACTCGTTTTGGGGCTGAGTCTTATCCCACTGTGGGCGTGCGCCGCACCTTCTCCGTCCACTCATCTGTGGACGGACAGCGGGGTCGCTTCCACACCTCGGCTGTTGTAAACAACGCTGCAGTGGACACAGGGGCGCGTGCATCTCTTTGAATAATTGTTTCCGTTTTCTTTGGACAAATATCCAGGAGTGGAATTGCCAGGCTGAACCGTAGTTCTATTGTTAACATTCTGAGGGACCTCCACGCCGTTGTCCACAGTGGCCGAGGCAACTGCCCTTCCCGCCTGCAGGGCACACGGCCTCCCATTTCTCCACGTCCTCGCCAGCATCTGTCGTTTGTCGTCCTTCAACAGTAGCCATTCTGACAGGTGCAAACAGGCACCTCCGTGTGGTTTGCTCTGCACTTCCCCGAGGGTCGGACAGCTACAGTGAAGAAGGCCTGACAGCTCCCAGGGCTGGGGCAGGCGGAGCTCTCTCACACCGCCGGTGGCGTGTGAACCAGCACACCCACCGGAAAGTCTTGGCAGGGTCCATGGAAGCCAAACCTATGGCTACTCTTTGACCTATTCATTGTGGTGTGTCCCAGGGAACAGACTCAGAGAGAGCGCTTGTGGGCTCTCGAGAGACAGGTTCCAAGACGCCCACAGCGGGTCTCCATGGTAACCCCACAGTGCAAAGGACTCAGACATCTGTTGACAGAATGAAAGCAATACAAAGATGTCAGCCACCATCCTGGGTCATAATTCCCATTGCCTCAGGTGACCTCACAGTTCTGTCTTCCACTGGACCCCTAGTTCATGCTCATGACCGGCAGCCTTGGCAGCCAATGGCCAACGGTGTGAGATACTCTGGAGCCCAAAGCACATTAGGATGAATTGAATGGGTCTCCAAGCAACAACGTAAAGATCGAGTTAATAAAAATGTAACTTCATTCATTAAGTTAGCTCCAATGAGAGCATCGGAAATGATTTTCAAAGAAAACCAACACTTTTAAAGCAATCTTCCACAAGACCCTACGTTACCCCAAAGGGGCTGAAGCACAAAATATTGAAGGTCGTTCTATACAAAAATTTAAGCAAATAAGAAAAAAAATAAAAGAAATATAAATATAAATCATAAACAATTTAGAAAGCATTCTGTAAATAAAAAAGAAATCATTGCATCACATGCTTCGGCATTTCAAAACAATGGCGAAAAGGGAAACAATTCTGTAACTGTTATTGGAAAACAAAAAAGTCCTTTTGAAAATAAAATCTTAAATATTTAAATTTCACAAAATTAACATAAAAAATATCGGGAGAATACCTTTTTATAATACTGGAGTAAGGAAGAGCTTCACAGGCATGACACGCACAGAAGCCAGAACCCAATACAGAACAAGGAATGAGGAGGTGGATGCAGCGCGATGCAGCGCAGAGAACTCACGAGCACACACAGAACGTGGACCGGCTACAGACTGAAGCGTGTGAGCGTGACGGAGACCCCGTGATCTTCGCAGGGAGAGCCCCGTGCACCAGCCGCGGCCACGGGTGCCCCTGTCCTTGATGGATGGGGAGGACGTGGGAGAATGTGCTTTGGAAGATCTGAGTTGCCTCTGATCTCACTCTCTTTTTTTTTTTTGAATAGTTTTCTGTTTTTTTATCCCATGATTCTTGTGGGGTTTTTAAAAAGATTTTATTTATTTATTTCCAGAGAGGGAAGGGAGGGGGGGAGAGAGAGAGAGAGAGAGAGAAACATCAGTGTGTGGTTGCTGGGGGCCATGGCCTGCAACCCAGGGATGTGCCCTGACTGGGAATCGAACCTGCAATGCTTTGGTTCGCAGCCTGTGCTCAATCCACTGAGCTACGCCAGCCAGGGCTCTGATCTCACTCTCTTTATTTTCTCTTTATTTATCTTATTTTCTTCTTCATCCTCACCTCTGCAGGGCAAGACACTTCCATCCACATTATTACCAGGCACATTTGTTGATGGATATTACATATTGTTCACGTCAGCTATGTAAATTAGGTGCCGTTAGGCCCATTTTACACATGAGAAGACTGAGGCTCCTATAGTCAGAAAACTAGTGGACCCAGGAATCAAAAATCAGGCCTTCTGGTTCCCAGTCCCTGTTCTATCAATAGCTCTGTGAGACCGTCCATGGGCTTGGTGGCCGCAGTATTTGGACAGCCGGCAGCAACCTCTGGCCCCTACAGCCAACCAGGTGTGGGGAGGGAGACAGTGTTATTTGAGGGGTCACCTGGGCCCTTGGTTCTCTCCCCTAAGACACATGAACACACATGCACACTGTGCATGCACACACACACACACATGCACACACACACACACACTCCTTGGGTTGGCCTTCCTGCCCCGTCCTTGCCCCTCGGTCAGTGTTCTTCAGTTTTCCCCAGGTCTTGCTGTTCCCTGCCTCCTGCCCCTCCTTCTGTCTTGCTCCCCTTTCAGCCCGCAGTTTCCAAGTGTGGTTCCCTAGACTCCCCGCCCCCCCCACCCACCACGGGCTCATCTGGAGATGCGGTGGGCTTCTGCCCAGGATCACTGGCCTGGCCTCCTCCACCTCCGCCCTTTTTCCAGGTCAGCCTGGCCCACTGCCCTGCTGGGGGCCCCATCCAGGTGGCACCATGTCTGGGGGGTCCCCTTCCTCAGCACCTGGACGTGCTCAGGCGGGCTGTTTCTCCCCGACCCCACACAGCGCCGAGCCCTGCGGTAGGCACGCCGTGGGAGCTCGGTAGGCCCATCCACGCAGCGTGCCAGGACCTGAATGCTTGGCTCAGAGAAGGTGAGGGCACAGTGCCCAGAACCAGGGCGACCCACTCCCTTCCGGCCCTGGTTCCACAGCCCCAATGTCTGAAACGTCTTTGGGTGGAACCACCCACCCCAGACTCCTTCCCTGGGGCAAGAGAGGGGTGGGCAGGGGCACCCTGGCCCCACTGCGGAACTCCAGCCACCCGGCCCCCCCAGGTTCACACCACCCCACGCCCTGGGAGGTCTGGAACGCAGTGGCCTGGGCCTGCATCCCGGGGTCCAAACACAGCTGACCCGCAATGCACCAGGTGACTAGGGAAGCCATCCCTCCCCCTGGTTCTCAGCTTACCCACCGGTTCGGTGGGGACTGGGGATGCACTGGACCTCTGGCTGCTTCAGAGGGCCAGTCTCTCAGGAGTCGTGCTGTGAACCAGTTCCGGGTAGAATAATGCAGCCCCTGGTCTGTGCTTAGCGCCGGCAGGGCCAGGACTGGCACGGCGCGGCAGCAGCAGAGTGACAGAGGATGCGGGAGCAAGACGTTCCAGCAAAACCTTTATGGGCAAACCACTGTAGATTGCAAAAAAAAAAAAAAAAAAAAAGGAGTCCCTAATTTAGTGTTTTCCCATCCTTTGGGATAAACCCCACCCCCCCCCCCCGATTTGATTTCAGCTGTGCTCACACATGAACGCTCGCGCACATTTAGCTCTCACTGGCCTGCGAGGGAAGGACTGTGCGGATGAGGACACTGGGGTGCCGGGTCCAGGCCAGCGTGTGGAATATCACCGGTCACTACGTGGAAGTGCTCCCTCCAAAGACGAGCTTGATATTTAAGGGAGAGCCAGTGGACGCAGGCACTGTTGCGGAATAAGTGGAGACGCCGGGGGAGAGCCCGGCTGGCTCCGCGGCCCCACAGAGAGCCCGGCTGTCGAAAGCCCGGCAGCATTCCCCCGGACCGCCCGTCTGGTTCCTCCGGTCCGCCTGGTGCGGCGAAGCCCGGCTGGCCCCGCCCTCGGTTCCCGAGCCACTGATGCGCCACTCCCCTTCCCTCTCCTTGTCCCCGTCCAAAGCGGCCTCCCGTCTGTCCCCGACTGGCAGAGTTCAGGTGGAAACACAGACTGAGTGTCTGGGCTGGCTGGCTGGCAGCTAGCCAGGTGCCACACGCAGCGAAGCAGTGCCCGCCCTCCTCCCTGACCCCGCAGACCAGGACGGGGGCGGACCCTGGAGCCAGGGCTGTGACGAGGCCGGATCAGACCCTGGGGAATTAATTCCCAGTGGAGAGACGCTCCTTAGCCACCCAAGAGAGCGAGGAAGGCTTCTGGAGCAGGCGGGGTCTGTCTCTCTGAGGCAGGCGTGTCCAACCTGCGGCCCCCGGGCCACGTGCAGCCCAGGATGGCTAGGAGTGCAGCCCAGCACAAAACAGTAAGTTTACTTAAAACATGGTATGATGTTTTTGTGACTACGTGTCTCCATGTATTCAACGTGTGGCCCAAGACAGCCCTTCTTCTTCCAGTGTGGCCCGGAGACGCCAGAAGTTTGGACGCCCCTGCAGGGTGACGTCTGAGGCTTTTCTGCCTCACCCCAGCAGCCCCAGCACAGGTGCGGCCGGAGGAGCGGCCGGAACAAGGCCCCAGGAAGCCACGGGACAGGCACAGGTGAAGGCTGGCTTTGGGGGGCCCCCCTTCTCCGAGGTGCCCCAGAGCAAGCCAGGTAGAGTTTCAGGACACGCCCCGCCAACACGTGGCTGATTTCCACCTCCTTCTCCTCACTGAGCCTCCGTGGGCCCCTCCGCACGATGCAGCAACACATCTCCCACTGGCCTGGGACCTGGGGCTGGGAGCAAGAAGGACCTTCTGAGTGTCAGGCCCTGCACCGGAGGGGGTGGGGGGTGAGAAAGACAGAGAAGCAGAGAGGTTCCACTGCCCCGGCCACGGCTCCCCCGCAGTCTGTCCAACTGGCTTCAGGGCCCGAACGAGACTCCGCCCACAACCTTGGCGTATTGGGACGCCACCGAGCGACCCAGCCAGGGCCAGTAGCTCTCATAGTCTTCCCTTGGGGGGTGAATAAAAAACACACTACACGATTAGCTCGGAACCTGTGTGGCGTAAGGGTTAAACCCCAAGCACCGCACAGACGCCGCCGCCGCCGCCGCCAGCGTCCCGCAGTCAGGTTTGGAAAGCCGCGGTGACGTGACCCGTGGGGACTTCACCAGCCCCCCTGGCTTCCCGGGAGCAGGAGTGATTTCCCTCCTCAAACGACCAGCCACTTTGTCCCAGAGGCTCCTTGGGAGACTCGCGGCCTGGGAAGCGGTGTGGCTTGGGCGAGCACCGGGCGGACCGCGGCCCGGCGCTGCCTCCAATCTCCACCGCGTCTCTGCGCCTCCACCTGTTTACCTGTAGGAATGGGCGCGATCACACCTGCCTCTCCACTGCGCACAGGCGCAGACAGATGCTGCGTGCAAAGCCCTTGCGCTGCGCCTGGCACGGATTACATCATGGGAGCCACTGTTATTATTTTATTATCATAGTCATTATTGTACATCCCTGTGATTATTATTTTATAGTGGCGCTAGAAATGGAGATGGGGCCACGGAAGGCAGGTATGTCCACATCACCCCCCACGCCCACCCCACCTCCCGTCACGGCTGTCTCCCACGTGGATCACTCTGGTGCCCTGGGACGTGCCAGGCTGGGCGGGAACCGTGTGGCAGGCGTGTGGGCAGAGCCAGATGCCAGAGCCCCCAGGGCAGGCACTGTCTCTGGGGCCTCTGACTCAGCTCTCGGGTGTGGCTGGTGGCGGCGGGAGAAAATGTTCAGAACTCAGTGCAGGTGGGGTGGGAAGGAGGGAGGCCTGGCGCTGGGTGGGGGCCTGGGCGGGTCCTTGGAGGTGGCGCTGGCGGCTTCAGCTGGGCATGGGTGGGGACCCTGGGGCTGGCGCTGGGGTGAGATGTGATTTGGATCTTCGTGGGTGTCCAGGGAGGGGCCGGCAGGTGGGCCCCAGTGTTCTCTGGGCCAGTGGGTCTGACCCCAGAGGCTGGATCAGGGCCGGTGGAAGTATCTAGGATTCCCAAGGGACGTGTGTCTGAGGTGGTGGCCGCTGGTGGCTGGAGCCAGGCCTGATGAGGAAGGAAACCGGACCTTCTGAGGTTTCCCAGTTCCCAGGGTGTGCGTGTGCCCGCATGTGCACACGAGTGTGCGCTCCCTCACACTGGGACAGGAAGCACAACAGAGAGGCCCAGGTGTGCGTGGCCGCCTGGCGTCTCGGTCGCACCTGCTGTCCCCTCCACGCCGGTGGAGCGGCTTCAGCGGCTTCTCTCCTGCGGGGGCGCGTCACCCCGGCTTCCTGGCGAAATCCTTCTTCAGCCTTCACTCGCCCCGTTCATCCGCAAACACGTATGTGGCGCCGACTGTGTGCTGGGCATTGGGACACATCAGTGGGTGTGGCAGACATGAGCCACATCCTCGGGCAACTGACCCTGGAGTCGGGGGGACACTGACCTTCGCTGTGCCCGCACATCTGCGCGTTCGGATGCCCACTGACCCGTGTTGCGTCCATCGTTTTCTTCTTCTGCACACCGGATCGGCTGTGTCCCCCACCCAACCCCACCACCCCAGGCTCCGACGCTTTGCGTTTGTCTCCCCGGGGTTGCGTGCATGTCCAGACTTAAGAAGAAGGCCCAGCAGGCTGGGCCTGTGGGCTGATTCCAGTGTGGTGTCCACTCATTTTTGGAGGAACCGAAATTGAGTCCTTTCAGACGCCAGCAAGACACTGGGGGTCCCCCTAATTATCCACGGGGCCTCCCAGCTTGCGACACCCCGAGTATCCCTGCGACAGTTGGGCTGAAAGGCAGGGCTGCAGTGGGGGTGGGGAATGAGACCCCCACCGGGGGTCTGAGCTTTCGTGGGCCAGGCTGTGAACTGCTGACTGGCAAACGTGCTCAGCAAATGCCCCGAGGAGCCCGTGGTGCTCTTGGGGAAACCAGGAGGGTGCTGGCCAAGAGATACCCCTGTCGTTGCACTTAGGCATGAGACGGGGGAGGAGCTGGAGGCATCACAGCAGGTACTTCAGATTCAGTGTCAAAAACATCCGATGCTCCTAATTCACGGATGGCCGAGGTCTGTAGTTCCAGCGCTGTCTTCCCCCATCGCCGCAGATGCTCTTCGGAAGCCAAGGGTGGTGTTTCGGCGTCGCAGCAGCCTGGCCTTGCATCCTGGCCAGAGCCCTTGTGCGCTGTTGGGTCTGGACAGGAGACGTAGCCTTGCCAAGCACCAGTCTCTTCTGGAAACCGGCATCACGCTCTCCACACGGGGCTACTGTGTAGGGTACTTATGAAAATACTGAGTTCAGGGCTTAGAAGCTATTTTTTTTTCTTTTACTAACTCATCAACAGTTCACACCCTTATTTATTTACTTAAAAATATATTTGGAAGCTATTTGGACCCATAATAACAAAATGGATACACAGTTACCACCTCCTAGACTAACTGTGGGAACCAATGAGATCATTTGAACGGATGTGGTGGTTTTATTCATTGCTCTGTCCCTTGGACCTTGTCCACAAAAAGTACTTGATAAATAACTGGGAAATAAATTAACAAATACATGAGCAAATGAATCAGTGATGTTTTCCTCATCCAAGCCCCCTTGCCTATGGAAGAAAATCCAAATTTTAAAAATAACAGCAGCTAAGATAGGTCGTTGTTATAATGTCAACACCTGAGGGCCCCCCTTCCCTCAACCCGCCGGCCAGGCCAGCCTCCCCTCTGGTCTGTGCACTCTGGGAGGGCCGGGGCTTTGCCTGCTGCCCTCTATCCAGCCCTCCCTGCCTCACACACGCCGGGCCTTGGGCTCACAATGTCTGCTCCTGTCCACCTGGGAAGTTCTTATCCATCTTTAAAATTCAGGTTAGGTATCATTTCCCCCAAGAGGCATTTTCTGAACCCCCTCTTTCAGTAGAACGGGCCATTCCCAGCACTACGCCCCTGCACTGCGTCCGAGGTCCTGGGGCTTGTTCTGATCATGGCCGTTATCTCAGGGTGGGGAAGCCATTGATTTCCCGGGTCTGTCTCCCCACTGAGCCTACGAGACCTCACGTGTCTTCTGTTTCTCCTTCCCTCCCTCCCTGCCCTCATTCTTGCCTTCTTTTATTCTTCCTTCCTCACTGGCTCATTTTCGTTCAGCAATATGATTTATGCATTTGCTCTGTACCTGGAATTAGGAATTCGGTAGTTCACAGAAGCACCAGAGTCCTGGCCTTCACATAGTTTGTCCTGTGGTGGTAGCCATAGTGGTGAAGGTTGTGGCGTTGGTGGTGACGATGGTGGTTGATATGGTGGTGAAGGTAATGGAGGTGATGGTGGTGGTGATGGTGGTGAAAGTGGTGGTTGTGACAGTGGTGGTGGTGACAGTGGTGGTGGTGATGGTAATGGTGGTGGTGACGTCACTACAGAAATTAAACACACCCTTATCTTAATAACTATCCAATTATAGTTGTGATGCAGCTGACAGAAAAAGTGCTCTTATATTCCCTTTTCTCCTCTTAACACGGAAACACGTTTCAACCTTCAGGGCCCCCTGCTTTGGCCTGTCCTTGGTCATCTGCCCCTGAGCGGGAACGGAAGTTCTGGAGGTAGTCAGGTGGACCGTGACAGACAGGTGGGGGAAACAGCACAGGGTTCCTCTAGTGGGACTGGGGACAGAAAATGGAATGCCCTCCCTTGGCCTGCCCTGCACTTCATTCATTCATTCATTCATTCATTCATTCCTGTCCCTCGGTGCCGGGCACTGTGGCTGGCTCAGGCAGGGTTCAGGGACACAGTGCTGAAAGAATCCCCTCACACCGCCCCAGCGCAGGACCCCCCCCCCCCGGGAAACACGAGGGCTCCCTTCCAGGACCAGGACCCAGTGAGAGAAATGCCGGCGTTACACTTCGTCTCTGCTTCTGTCGTGCCGGACGGTCTGCCGATCTAGGCAATTAACCCGCAGCCCCAGAAACTTAACCAAGGGGAAAAAATGCAGGCGCGTGATTCCTCAGCTTAACAATCTTGAGTTGACAAAGGAATTAAGGTGACAACCCCGGGTGCCAACGTCTCGCAGATCTTAGCATCTCCAGGCTTGGGCCTGGGGAAGAGGGGAGGGCAGGGGAGGGCAGGGGAGAGGCGGGCAGGTGCAGGCAGGGGTCCGGGCAGGCAGATGCCCCCCTGGGACCCGGGATGCCACCCGAGGAGCCCACCGCCAGCACAGGCAGGCCCAGTGGGCACAGGAGGGTTCAGCGCGGCCCCTGGGTCTCCGGGCTGGCGGGTCTGGCCACTCGCTCTCCAGTTACAGGGACAAAGTGTGTCCACAGCTCTCATCTCCTGCCCGGAGGGGACGGAAACAGTCACCGGGATTTCTCTGGAAGACGGACGCTCCACTCGGCCTCTGGGGGTGATGGTAGAAAACACGTTTCTCTGTCACCTTTGGGGTCACCTGTGGTCCTGTTCTTTTTCTGTCCTTCGCTGCGGTTTCTAAAGAGGTACCCGTGCCAGCATGCCTTTGAACTTCTCTTTTCTTTCCATGGCCCTTTGACCCTGGACCGGCTGCCTAAGGCGACCTTCTGCAGGGGGCCTGCTCTGACCCTGAGCGGCCCCCGTGCGTCTGCTTCCCTGCTGAGCTGTGGTCCCAAAAGAAAGCAGAGGTGTCTTCTGGGCGGGGTGAGGGCTTCTCTTCTTGGCACCCCCCCACCCTTCCAGGAGCACCCCTGCTCGCTCTCCACAAGTCCGCCCACAGCCGGACTCTGCACACCCTTTTCGTGGAGGCCCCCCACGCCCGGCCGCCAGTTCCCTTGGAGACCCCCTCCACTCCAGCCCCGACAGCTGCGCACAAATAAACCCTCCGGTCAAATTGCCCCACCTCCCAGAGCCAACCAGAGCCCTCCCAGGTGGAAGGGGCCCACCCTTCTTCCCCCCCCCCCGTGCCGCAGGCACGGGGGGAAGGCTGTTGGGTGCCCATCATTTGCTCACCACCCTGGTTCCCACAGCCCCCTCCCCACCGGTGCTGTGACTCCGTGAACCTGTGTCCAGCCTGGGTCTGGGGGTCGTGGGGACGGGCCGCCTTCAGCCCTGGGGGGTGTGCTCTGCAGACAGCTCCTGTGTGGTCTGCCTTCACGGCCGACTGCATTCCGCGACTGAGCAAGATGGGGGTTTAAAGGCCCCGCCACGTCAGCCCGAGGGGCAGCTCCAGTGAGCGACGTGCCCTCCCGAGCTCAGGGTTTGGCAGAGCGTCCGAGGGCTGGCACGCAGACCCACGGTCCCGTCCACCCCACCCGCTGCCGCCCACTCCCGTTCACAGGGGCCGATCCTACCTGCATCTCGCACGCGCCCCGAACTCCAACTCAGCCTCTGCTCCCGGAGATGCGGCCAGCAGCGCCGGACTCTCTCCTGAGCCTCTTCCCTCTTTCTTCCACTCAGCAAACCTCAAATCTCGGTTGAGCCCTGGCCACGGGCCGACACCCCTCGGGGTGATCTCGATCTGCCAGCGAACAACACGGGCCGGAACAGGCGAGGGGCAGACACGCTGGAAACAAGCCCACCAGCGAACAAGAGGGCGTAAGTGCTGAGAGAGTGGACAGGTGAAGGGTCAGAGGGTACCGTGGGGGCAAGTGCCCTGGGTGGATGGAGAGGGGCTAGTTATGGAACAGCTGCTCTGGGGAGGCGGCGTTTGATCCGAGCGCTGAGGGCAGAGGAGCAGCCATGGAAACGCTGCCCCATCGGGTTGTGTTTGCCCGGCTGCCCCCTGGGCCTCCCACCAAATGCTCCCGGGCTCCGAGTGGCCCCAGGGGGCCGCCCCACCCCCAGTCCTTACTAAACCCCTGTGCCTGTGCTCATGCTCCAGGGGACACTACCCTGGCCCAGCAGCCCCTCAGTCCCGACCCTTTCAGTCCCCATCACCAGGTCCTGATGCCACCAATCTTCTGGGGCGACCCCACGCCCAAGCCGACCGCAGACCTTGGCCAGCTGTCCTCCCGCAGCTGTTGCAACGCCCACCTGGCTGGCCACCCTTCTTCACCTCTCAGAACCTTCTTGGGTGGCAGAGGGATCCCAGTGCACTGTGCCCGCCTCCACAGCTCTGGCCCTGCCCCCAGCTGCCCCGCAGAACCAAACACCCCCACCTCGGGGACCACCCCTGACACTGTGCTTCAGTGGGGGCCACCCACGGCCACAGGCGGGGGTGGGGGTGCTGAGACGACAGGAGTTTATTCTCTCCTAGGTCCGGGGGCCAGCAGTCTGAGATCAGGGCCCAGCAGGGCCACGCTCCCTCTGAGACTTCGCAAGCTGGCTGGTGGCTGGCCGGCCGTCTTGGGGTCCCTCGTCCTGCGACTGCATCATCCGTCCAATCGCTGCCTGTCATCTCACAACGCTCTCCGGTGCACGTCTGCCTCCGCGTCCACGTTTCCCCGCTTTGGAAGGACACCAGGGGCGGTGTTGGGTCGGGGCCCCCTCCGATGACACCATTTTTAACTTGATTACCTCTGCAAAGACCCCATCTCCAAATATGGTCACAGTCTCAGTGCTGGGGGCAGGGGGTAAGACTTTGCCATACAATTTTGGGAGCACATAATTCAGCCTGTAACAGACCCCCCACATAAAGTTCGGTTTGAGTGTCAACACCGACGGGAGCACCTGTGTCCCCAGAGGGCACAGGGAGTTCTCCTGCTCATGTAAGGAGAATAGGGCAGGCTCCCACGGTCGTCCTCAAACGGCAGGAGAAAGCAAGGACTGAAGGTGGCTGGGCTTTTACGGTGGATGAGACCGAGGTGGGAGGGAGGGAGGATTTCCATGCAGGCGGGGCCAAAAGGGGCGGGGGGAGGCGGGGGGAGGAGGCTAAAAAGCTGTCAGCAGCAGACCATCAGAAAATAGAGTCAGACCCTATTACAAAGGCCGGCACACTTATAACAGCCATTGCTCCCTGTTATCCCATAACCCGCAACTGCTCTAAAATGGCTCTGGGCGGAGGGGTGCAGAGGGTCATGGGCAGGGGGCTCAGAGCCTGGACTCTGTGTCCAAGCCACCTTTGGTTGAAGCTGCACAGGACCGGCCGTGCACGTAGGAGAGCTGGGGGAAGGCGGGCGCCATGGGAGGGGAGAGACGGCGTTTAGAAGACCGAGCTGGCCTCTGGAGAACACATATCCTTGTCTCCTCTCAGGTCAGAATGATTTTTAGCTTCTGGAATTATCTACTTAGGTGTGGATAGAAAATCCACATGGCTAAGATTTTATCCATTCTGCAAAGCCAGGGAGGGGAGCCTGATGCCCTTGAGTCAAACCTAGCTGGGAGTCAACCTAAATGCCACCTCCTCCATGAAGCCCGCCCTGTTCGTCCCCACCCCCCGCCCACCTTCCAATCCTTTGCTCTGTGGTGTACATGGCCTTCCGAAGGCTGCCTCAGGTCGTTGCTGCTTGTGGTCAAATCTTGACCACTGAGGTCAACAAGGTCATGTCATGTGCACTGGTGTGTCCCCAAAGGTCAGCCTCTCCCCATCCTCTCCCAGCACCTGCCCTTCCTGCCTTAACCCCCAGGCACAGGGGCACCTTTGCACCTGTCACCACTCCATGATTCATTCTTCTGCAGGACACACGCGAGCTGCTCCCCTACCCGGACCGCTGACCCTGCTCCAGCTCCTCTCCTTCCATCTGTTTCATCTTGCTCAGCTCAAGAGCCCCTTCCTCGGTAAATAAACCCTTCTCTTTTTTTAGGATTATTTATTTATTTACTTATTTATTTATGTTAGAGAGGGGAAGGCAGGGGACACGAGATGGAGAGAAACATCGATGTGTGGTTGCCTCTCGCACGCCCCCTACTGGGGACCTGGCCAAGAACCCAGGCGGGTGCCCTGACTGGGAATTGAACCTGTGACAATTTAGTTCACAAGCCGGTGCTCAGTCCACTGAGCCACACCAGCCAGGGCAGTGCACCCTTCTTAACTCCCCTCCCTGCCTCTGGCCAGAGCAAGTCCCCCTTCAGTCAGCTCTGACTCCTGAACTTGCCCTTCGGAGCGAAAAGGTGAGTGCCCCTCCCCCACCAAACCAGCATGAGATAACCATGCTCACGCAACAACTCGGGCTCAGCACACAGCTGCGAATGAATGGGTGAACCGGGAGTGCAGCGGGTGAGTGCAGGGACCGGCCTGAGTCTCCTGCGCCCCGTTTCCCCTCCCGTCTGTAGTCTGGGCTGGAAGGCAGAGGGGGCCCGTGGCAGTGTGGACAGCTGGGCCGGCTTTCTGAGAGCAGCCCGGCCATTCACTGGCCTCGGGCAAGTTCTGTCCCTCTCTGTAACAGGAGGTGTTTGGCTAGCTGAGCTCTCTGTAGCACTCTTTCAGAATAGCAGAGAGCCACGTGTGCTTTCCCAAACACTAAACCACTGTTGGTCAACCAAGTCTCGGGTTGTAGGAACACCTGTCAGGGGAGGAGATGGCCGTGCAGGTAAGAAGTGGTGGCGCGCCCTCTGCTGGTGAGATGGTGAACTGCAGGAACCGAGCCCAATGAAGCGCTTGCTCTGAGAATATGGGTGGCTTTCGAGACTCCTTGGGGGATCTTAACGTGCAGATTCCTGGACCCACGCTCCACCACGTCCATGGTTCTGACTCAGGAATCTTGGGGGGACGTCTGTGATTCTCCACTTTTAGTTACTACCTGCTTGTACAGGACCCCCAGGGCCACCTTTTGAGGAATGCTGGTCTTGGGCAATTGGGTGGTGGAGTCTCTCAGTTTCCCAGCCGCCTCTGTGGTCCGGAGGGCCGGTCCTTCAGTCCTGCGACCTTGAGCGTGGCCTTGGGAATAGCAGGGTCACAGTCATTCACAGTCCCTCCCTCGGGGGCTCTTGGTCTACCAGCATAAACCAAACCAGTTTTTTGAAAAGCTCCATCCATTTTGAGGGGGGAAATGTGGGTTGCATGGCGTCTGATCGGCCAGCCAATGAGCTGCGGTTAAATGGCCTCCTTTCTGATGATAACAGTCAAAGGTGGAGGCGGGGATCTTAGACCCTGGAACCAGTGACTCCGGGTTCAAGTCCCAGCAGCTCTCCATTCACCAGCCGTGTCCTCAACAAGACACTTCACGTCCCTTTAATGACGAGAAAACGTGCCTCTTAGGCTTCCTGGGATGAGAGGAAGCGATTCAAGCACCAAACACAAGCCCAGCCTTCAGCAAACACTCAGCAGCCAGGAGCTGCTATTGCCGTAGTTTGTATTGTTTTTCCACAGACCCTCGCCCTGGGCTGGTTCTGCACAGAGCAGGGAGAGTCAGGGGGGCGGGCAGGACGCAGGGAGGAAAAGGAATGGAAAGCTGTCCTGTCCGTGCCTTCAGAGAGCCGAGCCTAGTGGGGCGGGGGAACGTGGCAGCTTGAAGCTCGGTTGCAAGATGACGTGGGTGGCAGCCACTGTCCAGCTGAGAGCCTGAGAGAGAGCCACCGGCTGAGCCCGGCCCCACCCGGAACTGCGGGAGGTAATGATGCCGAGTGACTGCCGCTGTCTTATGCCACGGAACTGGGGGCAGTGTGTTACCTGACAGCGTGTCCTCGATAGAAAGCGATGGGTTACAGACAGGAACGGTGGGGGGCCCATGCACCCTGCCTGGGGCAATGCCCTCATCTTGGCTGTTTGTCTTCCTTCTTACTGAAGCCGGTCCCCAGCGCATCAGCACCCATGACGGAGTCTGCCAGCCAGACCTGTGACGACCACAAACCCGACCCCAGGCTGCTCAGCGCCACACGGCTTTAATGCTAACGGTTTCCCCACAGAGCTGAATGAAGGCCCCCCACAGACTAGAGTGAAAGGCCCTCTGTCATTAAAACGATGGCAAGAAGACTTGGGGGAGATTGAAGGGTGGGCCCGCTGTCTTGCTGCCCAGCTGCTGACCCCCCACGGCCTTTGACACCGATACTGCCCACGCTCAGTCACAGCCCCTCTGGTTGCCAGGCGCTGCACCGGATCAGGGTCCCAGCTCCCACAACCTCAGAATGTGACTGTGCGTGGGGCGATCGCGGCTCTGTGGAGGTGACTGCAAGGCGTCGTTAGGGTGGGCCCTAACCCAGAAGGACCAGTGTGCTCGTAAGAGCAGGGAGATTTGGGCATAAACGCCAACAGAGGAAGATGATGTGAAGCCTCAGGAAGAAAACAACCACACACCCCAGCCAAGGAGCGGCCTAGCACAGATCCCCCAGTACAGCCCTTAGAAGGGACCAAGCCTGCAGACACCTTGACCTTGGACTTTCAGACTCTGGAACCGTGAGAAAATAAATGCTCATCCTTCTTCATTTCTCAAATTTATATCCGGTAGAGAAAGAGAGAGCTAGAAATAGATGCAGGGGTTCCCAGATAGTCTAACCACCTGCCTCTGCTTTTTTAGATTTTCCCAGACAAGCATCATGCCTCAGTCGGTGGTCCCCCCACCAACAATGGGGTACACATGGTGCTGGGCGAGCGTCCTGGCAAAGGCCCTCCCTGTGGTCTGAGTGTCTGTGGCCCCCCAAAATTCCTAGGTTGACATCCTGGCCCCTGAAAATGGCAGTGTCAGGGGTGGGGAGGCACTAGTGTTGTTAAGAGTGGGGCCTCGTGAGTGGGATTAATATCCTTGAAACTGACCCCCCCCCCCGCCCGCTCCCTAGCCCCGCCCCCACGTGAACACACAAGGAGAAGTCGCCCGCTGCGAACCAGGACGAGGCGTCCCCCAGAACGGGGCTATCTGTAGCAGTGCTGTCAGAGAGTTCTGTCCGAGTCATCCGTCAGAGGGGCCGGCCGCTGCAGGCCAGGCCCGTTCTGGCTCAGAGAGACGGATTGGCCTGTGACTTGGCTTGCTGCCTGCCTGGGCCTCAGGGATGATCCATGAGGAACTCCTGTCTGTCCTTGGTGTGATGGGTGAGGTTTTCATAACCCTTGAGCCCCACCCCCACCCCCCAATCCCCCGCCCCAGAGGCCTCAGGATGAGCAGCAGCCAGGGGCTGGGCGGGAGTGGGCTTCGAGCTAGCGGCTGAGCCCAGCCCGTCCCCGTGCGCATGGGCATCGCCCCCATTCCTCCACACTCTTCGGCAGCGACTCCCCTCAAAGTCCTGACGGTCATTTCCCTCTTTCCTTCTACGCACTCCTTTTCGTGGGAGAAAACGGTGCAGGGATCACACGCAGCACGTCATGAAATTCAAATCTCCCTACATTGGACCACGTGTGCGCAGCGCAGGGCAGGGGGAGGCCGAAACTCTCTTAAGATGCTCCGTCAGGACCACAGTGCAAAGAGGGTTGCAAACTCTCATGGAGCCGTATTCGCACATGTCGGGATCGATGGCCGGCGTACAGTCCGATTGGGACACTACCGTAGGAGAGCTCCGGTTTTTGCCGCCCTCACTGTGGCCAACCCTCGTTCCAAGCACTTTGTGGACGTGAATTTGCTGGCTCCTCCTGGCACCCCTGAGATTCAGGAAGAGCCACAGCCCGCAGCCCACGGGTGGGAATGCTGAGGCCAGTGAGCACCGGGTCCCGTGGCGGGGCCGGGCCCCAG